CCTGTTTGCCCAGAAAGCACTGCTGGATTTGGTATGTTAGCGATTAATAATTGTCTTATCCCATTGAGTTAGTTTTCAATTATGTGATGCAGTGTGATAAACACACAACAATTGATATTCTGCTGGGTGGAAAACAAAGTTTTAAAAATATCATAGCCCAACTATTATATATTTTATATGTAAAATTTATAGTGTTCAATCTGTGAACATGCAGTCATAGATTGTTGACAGTTACAACTTACAAATGGCAGTTTATTGTCTAGTATTGTAAAAATAGTTATAGTAAATAAATGTGAATGAACTTTTATCAATTTCATTCATCCATATTGATAGTCCTGCACAACACTTTAAAATTATTCAATGTTTTTATTTATTTCAACTTAATTATTTACTACATGAAGTACTGAATCTTGCTTTCTGTGACGTCGCCACAGATTAATTAAGAGGACCTCTACGTCTTAATTTGTGACGTCGCATACAAGCAAAATTGCAGGCTCAATGTCAGTGAGATTTTGGAAAAGAAATTGCAACGACAGATAAATGTCAATAATAATATACGTTAATTAAAACCAGAAATAATGGTGCAATAAAATTGAGAAGTAACGTGAAATAGGGTAATCACATTAATACCAGTTCTTCTGAACTGATGTAATTATAATTACGTTACAAATTACTTTGGCAAAACAGGTAATTACAGTAAAGCATTACTTTTGTAAACCGTATTTAATTTACAACACTGATTGTATAATACATACTACCTGCACTAGACCCACATTTGCAATATTCAATTTGTGTTCTGTGTTATGGTCAGTGGAAGTCTATTTTTAAAATATATTGTTTTTTTATAATTTATATATTTAGCGAGTACTGTCCCAACCGCTAGTGAAGCACAAGGGAATGGCTGTCATTCTGTGACTATTGATATGCAAGGTAATTAAGGGGCCGATTACATGGAGAACTTTCAACCCCAGGGTTGAACTCAGCCCTGTTAACCGGGTTGAAATTTTTTGCGATTACATGGACGATTTCAACCCCGGGGTTGAAACGCTATACTATACGTTCTCTGCATCGATTCCCGGAAGTAAAAAAGCCTTCGTTTTGCTTTCTTGTAATAAATAGTCACTACCACGCATGCTCAAATAACTCATGATAATTTCAGCCCTGGGTTGAAAATTTTGTGATGTAATCGTGCGTTTGATTTTGATAGAGTTTTGTATTACAGACAGGGCTGAAATTTCAACCCGGTAAACAGGGCTGAGTTCAACCCCGGGCTTGAAAATGCTCCATGTAATCGTCCTCTAAGGGCTACTAGACAACACTTCTTTTTTGTGTATGCATACATTAGGATATCCATCTTGTGATAGAAAGAGTTTAACTAGGTCACAAACAAGGTTCTGTGTTCTTGCAAAATATGACATTTGTTTTAACCCACTGAGTGCCCAGTACTCCCAGCTGACAGTATTCTAGTTTTTGCGTAGCTAACAAAAATGTTACTGTGTTATTCTATTGGCTTTCTAGCAACATCCCAAACACATTCCAATTGATGTTGAAACTCCGGTTCTGACAAGGCTTAGTGATCTTCCATCCAAAACATACCAGAAAATATGCAAGACCTTTAATAGAGGTACATATGGTATAAATAATTGGGAGGTCCTAGCTGGTTAGCTTGAATTTTCTGCTGAAATGGTTAGAAGTTGTGAATCAGAGAAGAAAAAAAAAACAGATGCTGCAGTAATTTGTAGCTGGGAGACAAAAACTGGGAATAGTTTTGCAAAATTTGTTGAGATTTTAAAGGAAAGCGACCTTTATTATAGCTTAGACTATTTATCTTTACAACACTTTATTACTTTCCTAACTATGTTTATCCTATAATTATACCCACCCTGTCAACTGCAAACCACTCCGCCTTGAGAAAACCCACAATATCAGTGAAAATAATATCAGTGAAAACCCACAATATCAGTGAAAACCCACAATATTAGTGAAAATAATATCAGTGAAAACCCACAATATCAGTGAAAACCCACAATATCAGGGAATGAGCTCAATAATGTATGAATTTAGATAGCAATCATGTAAACTTTATATTGTATAAACTATGTGATAAACCTTAATTGCCATGAAATTTATTTCATTGCATAGTATTGTAATAACTACATATAGTGAATTCATAGTTTTGTAAAATAGTATTGTAACCATCTTGACAACATAATTAAATAATAATATTTAATATTTCTATTGCGCGATTTTAATACATATGTATACAATCAAGTTTGCATTACATTATATAGAGGTTATTTACAACATAGAATATCAATAAAATATTTAGAACATTAATATTGATAATAAGCCTTATCTTAAAAATATTCGTCTTAATTAGAACTTTAAATTTAATAAAATTGTCTTCTTGACATTCGCCAAGAGGACAATTTTATTAAATTTAAAGTTCTAATTAAGACGAATATTTTTAAGAAGGCTTATTATTAATATTGTTAAAATTTTATCTTGTAAATATTTTATTGATATTCTATCTTGTAAGGGACCGGTCATAAAGTAGAGGGGGGGGGCTATGAAAAATTGGGGGTGGGTCACTATTTTTCAACACGTCGAAAAGGGTGGGTCAGGAAAATTTATGCACTGCATTAGGGGTGGGTCAGGTAAAATTATTCACGTCTCACAATTTAATAAATAGCAAATA